TATATATATATATAGAGAGAGAGAGAGAGAGAGAGAGAGAGAGAGAGAGAGAGAGAGAGTTTCCAATAAATGAGCTAATAACAAATCATCAGTCTGTTGCTTTCGTAGCCTTCAACGTAGTTTCCTGAGAGGCAATTTTAGCAGCTCAGTCCTCTCCGTTTCCACTGGGATTTTCCCTTAAACCCCGTTATAAAACGTTGCTCTGACTATCGGGGTCTGGAGTGATTCACCTCCCTCACTACACCTACGTTATTGCTCTTTCACTACACTTCCCACCGAGCTCTTCCAGCCGCGGAGGTCGAAATAGTCGTTGAGGGCATCTGAGTTCTCTGCCCTTGGCCACTTAAAAAGAATGTAAGACTGACATTTCTTGCCTCTTTCTGTCCTTCTGTTTTCTCTCTCTTTTCAGTCCTTCCCTTGTACATACTTTATTTTATTCCTTCACCCGTGTATTCTTTTATTCGTTTCTTTCCTCCTCTTCAGCTTTATTTTTCTATGTATCTGTTTTCTCTTTCACTCCAGCATCTTCCTCCTCAGTGTTACATGAAAGGAAACCGAAAGAGATTAGTGATGAATAATAAGCACCAAAAGTCCTACAAACTGAATGTTACCGTTGGTGTTTCTACTAGATCTAGCTGTTGCTACCGCCACCACTGCTGCTTTTATTATTTGCTGGTTACTGTTGCAAAGAAAAACCCCACACACACTGAAGAGCGACAGTCACCATCGAGACAGCTGTTTGTTCACAAGTTACAACAAACAACCCCTGCCTTTTGACGACCCTCCTGAAAGAAAGATGAAATAATCTGGCCACATATTATAACTTCAACAACGTTATCAGCCCGCAGAGCTCAACGTACGACAGACTTTTAACTGGACAGACCTACAGGTAAGTCTAAAATAGACGCAAAGACTGCTTGAGCGGCTCAAAAGGTGTGACAATCAAGAAATTTTATTAAGCGACAATTTCGTGGTAGGAGGCAACAGGTGCAGAGGACACGGGAGCAACACACTGTTCCCAGACTCCTCGCAAAAACATGCTCGCACAAACATGCGCTATTCCTTGAGCGACTGCCTGTCATGACGGCATGATGGTTGTGTTTCAAATAGTCAGAACTATAATATAGTATAATATATATTATAAATAATATTATGAAAGAGGTTTACCAGGGTTTAGCTAACAGCTCGTCAACATATATCATCATCATCATCATCATCATCATCATCATCATCATCATCATCATCATCATCATCATCATCGTCATCATCATCATCATCATCATCATCACCAATC